CTGTAGCCACATCCACAATGTATAGCCACGCCCACAATGTGTAGCCACACCCATACTTTATAGCCACACCCATATTCATTGTGTATGAACCTAGCTATGAATACTCCTTTTGGTTTTTAGGTTAAAATATCTGAACTGAGAGCAGTCCAGCATAATACAAAGAATGAGCTTCTCATCGGCTATAACAGTACGCCATTTTATCATTAAATTATTACTATTATTATTATTATTATTATTACTATTATTATTCTTATTTTTTATTTATCTATTTATTAGCATTATTATTATCATTATTATTTTTTATTGATAGTGTCGTGCAGTGTGCTGGCGCTACAAGACGGTATGGTCTTCAATTCTCCAGAGACAGTTTGGAATGCTGAACCTACTTCCATAGGTACAGACTGAGATCATACTCATTGTTCTATTATACCAATGCTATCAGAGTACAACCTAATTATACCCTAAACCCTAAACTCATACCTGTACCTAATTAAACCATAAACTGCTTCACGTACACCATTAAACCATAAACTGCTTCACGTACACCATTACACCCTCAACTCTATCACTATAAAGAATGTTTGTGTAAACTCTAAAGTCTAAACCCTTACACTATGAAGAACTTGTGTATGTGTAACAGAAATGTATCTCTCTCTTTCTCCCTCCCTTCCCCTCTCCTCTCCTACAGTTCACACTGGTCCCTATACACTAGCGTTTACAGCTGATACTATTGAAATTAGAAAGTCATCAAACGGTTCTTTAATGCACACCATCGACGTGCCTCAACTTAAACCTATTTCACTCAAAGTAAACCTTTTATTTTACATTAATTAACTAATTAACTAATTTATTTATTAATTAATTTATTTATTTTTAATTAATTAATTAATTTATTTATTTTAGGATGACTTGATATTCTCGTCTCCAAGTCTCCTCAATCAGTCTCTCCAAAGGAACGATAGTTTCTCACGTTTGGAGGGAAAAGCCGCCAAAGTCCTTGGGAAAGCAACATCTTCAGGAACCTCCCTACACATATACAAGATCAGCTTAGAGAACCTTCTTGGGGGCGGAGCTGGAAAAGGGCGTGGCCGACGTAACAGTGACAAAGATGATGAGACTTCATCTAGTGGCAGCCACTGTAGCATGTTAGAGGACGTTCCTTCAACGATTTCCGAAGAACCAGAAGGGCGTGGCAATGGGTGTGGTCTTCATCTAAAAGACCTGAGTAATGGAGGAGGTGTCGACATTAGTCTTGAAGAAACCAACTCAAAGTTTAAAAACGCAAGAATACTAAAATCTCCGTCTTCCAAGCCGAGGCAGATGTTTGTCTACCCCGAGAGTTACGGCGACGGTAAGAAATATGTGGGCCCCCTCAGCGAAGTTTTTGAGGACTCGTTTCGCCTGGTCTGCAAAGAGGAGGAGGAGGAGGAGGAGCCTATGCACTCTGTCCTCTCGGAGCGAGACATTAAAACAGCACAACTTCACGGACTCCATTCAACCTATTCCTCATCTCCTTCCATCCTTGAGGATATTAACTCTCTCTCTTCTCTCTCCCCTTCTTCCAGCGATGTGCTATTTAAGCTATGATTATTAATGTTGTTGTTGTTGTTTTTTGTTTGTAGTGTCTTGCTTTTGTGTTTATTCTTGTTTATGTTTCACTTTCTCATTCATCCATTCATTCATTAACATTATCATCATCATCATCATCATCATCATTATTATTATTATTATTATTATTATTATTATCATTATTATTATTATTATTATTATCATTATTATTATTATTATTATTATTATTATTATTATCATTATTATTATTATTATTATTATCATCATCATCATCATTGTTATTATTATTATTATTATTATTATCATTATTATTATTATTATTATTATCATTATTATTATTATTATTATTATTGACTTTTTAAAATTCAGATCTGCAGAGTTAATTAATGTGGGTGTGGTTATACAGCTCCAAAAATTGCATAAAAAGGCCCGAAGCGCTTAGCCTGATTTGTCTTGCAACTTTGTTGCATAGGAATTGTTCCCTGTCTCCTTCTCTCATAGATACGTCATGGCTACTCAGGCTCCGCCACTCCTCACACTGCAGGAAGGATCCGTGCAAACCTGCAGCGGGTACGTGGAGAAACAGTCCCGCATATTGAAGAGATGGAAAAAGAGATGGCTAATCATTACTCCTGGTATGCAGCTACATGTACATGTATAACGAAGCAATACTGCATTGGTATGACAAGTACTGGCTAGACATTGGTTTCCACTGTACTAATGCAATGCATTATACTTGTTGTATATATGTTTTACAAGTTAGCACAACACTGCAGCATAAGGTTGCATTTTCTGGAGCTGATGCAATGAATGTATTCGAAACATTTAATGTTCTTTTTTACTGACTACATGCATGTATTGTACAGTCTGGTATCCTAAGGACATTAGTTCAATTCCTAGTTTTGATGGCACTTTTTAATACAATTCATTTTCTCCCTGTTAAGTATAAATGCCCCGGGCTTTTGATCAGGCAAATACAGTAGTACAATATAATTTGAGGTAAAAAGTGCATAATTTTTAAAGTGTAAAAGTGACAAATACAAAGTACATGTGTGTATAAGTTCAAGAGTTAGACTATTATATTTGGAGCAATTTAAAGTCTTAGCTGCCTAAAATGCATGT